GCATTCAGATTGAATCTTTCCAAGATTTTTCATAGTCTACAATACTATTGAGAACCTTATAAGTGAAAACTATATCATAAGTTCTTCTTCTCTGTTCAAGAGAATTGGAGCCCATAAAGGATAACATAGGCTCATAGTTATAATTATAAATTGACATGGGCTGCAGTGTACATATAGGAGACTAAATGCAAAAATTTCTGTTCTATTTTCTCGAAAGCTGCGGTGTACTTATCAAAGAAGGGTAACGTATTCTAAAATTGATCTAACTAGTGTAATATAAAGCATTTTAAGTTAGTGTACTAGTCTTCTTAAAATACTTGAAAACTCTATAGGCAATTTATATTAATAAATTTATATTACCTTTATTTATTTATTTTATTTATATTATAATATATTTATATTATATAGATATAATATATATTTATATTTATATATTTATATTAATAGATATTATACGAATGTAAGACAGACAGATCATTCCAAAACCGCCGATTAAACAATTCCGACAAAACGAAAGAGTTAGAGTTTAGAAGAACTGCTCTTTCAATAGCAATTTCCGAAATCAAGGCAAGAGGAGCTCGACAGTGACCACGTCTGAAGATAATAAATCGGCTTCCACGTTCCCGATGCAAAGTGGATACGTGAGCGATTTGAAAGCAGCCGAACATGTGTGCGACATCCATTTATGAGGGATTCCATGGAATAGCAACGAAGTCAATCGCGGTGGACGATGGGTAAACGGCTAAAGGATCGATCAGATCCTTGTCTCTCGTTATACCAAGTCTCTACCATTTGATTTATGAATAAGAAACGATCACCGTGTAACGGAATCGTAAAAGCCTTTAATCGCGATTCTCATTTCGATGATAGGCATTCGTTGTAAGAACGTTTCAGGAATAATCTGTAGCGTATCGGGTGACATCAAAGGCAAGCACGAGAGATCGCTCGCTCTGTATTGTCGATCGCAATTTCGCGAGCAGAGTCGAGGATCGAGCTTGGATCGAGCGCGCGGCCCACGCGTCGGGAGCGCAAACGCTCGTCGAACGTGCTCTTGATTGCATTATGAGAATAAAATGCCGAGTGGAATCGACACGCACACGCGGACGCGAGAGCTCGCGAGATTTCGCAAGAGGATTTTCCTCGAGCCGTCCCGCAGGAATCCGGGGAGGAGCCGCGATTTCCGTCGAGCTACTCTCCGCGTCTCCATTCTTCGCGCGGCGCAGGTAAGAACGATATTAGATTTACCCCGGAAGCAAACCTTTTCACGTAACCGACCCCCCCTCTCTCCCTCCCCCGAGTCGGAAAAACTCGAGCGAAAAGCGATAAACGACACGTCACGCCGCGTTTCACGATATCAATTCGATCGGGCGGGATGCGCGCCGCAACGTTTCTTCCAACGGATTACCGGCTAAAAAACGCCACGCAAACGTTGCGTCGCACAGTGTTACCTTTTCCGAAAATGTTAGGCAAACACAATTTTCAAAATATAAACTCTTAATAGCTTATACATTATATATACATATTATATTATTATTATTATATTAATATTATATAATATAATAATAATATAATAATATATGATAATATAATATTATATTATTATTATTATTATTATTATTATTATTATTATTATATATATATAATATATAGTCAAATTCAGCAACATCAAAAACGTACAAGTTTAGATTTTTATAAAAATCGTATAAAGTTAGAAATTGTGGTTAACTTTTTGAGAAACGGTACCGCTGGGCGTCATTTGTTCTCCGGTGCGCAAAACGTGCGCAAAAGAAGTCGGGAAGTAGGTAATCGAGTGCCATTGTTGTCGTCGTGCTACTCACGACTGCAATTGGTCGTGAGTTTTCGCCACTTTCGCTTTTGCAGACTCTATTTCAAGCGCGATAGCGCGCACCGAAGTAAGACAATCATTAATCTTAATTTCCCGGCGAATCGAATGCTCGAACCTTTGTGCGCTGCTATAATCTGAACGAGCTCGAAGATTTCGTCGGAATGGCTGCAAGGTCACAGAAACTTCGCAGCGATGTTCAGGCGACGACGAGCTTTTACAAGCTCGGGGAAAAAACTTCAAATTTCAATGGTTCGAGCGATAAAACTGTGGATATTCCTCGGTGTCTGAAAACTGACTGCAAATTGGGAATGTGAAGTGGAATAAAATTGTATACTATGTCCTGCCACATAATGAAATGTTTGCACAAGAAATATTGCCTTTGAGATCTGAAATTTGAAGAAATTTGAAATGATTGAATATTGCCTTTGAGAGAATATTGCCAGATCTTTATTTCATTTATGTTGAACTTCACGGGGCGATAAAACTGCAGTTGCTTCCCTTAAGGACGAAATTCAAAAAAAATTTAATTCCACGTTTTTAACGCATTTTGTTTCATGTCCCGTAACTGCGTAAGAAGACCGAACGAGATTTCTTGATTTGAATGCAGATTCTTGGAAACGACACGTATCATTATAATTCACCTCAGGTGCTGCGGAAATGTGGGATGCGGTCAGAGTAATAGTAAATCGAAAATATAGAACGAAGTTTTTCTCTGCCATGTCAGATGTGTTATTCACACAATCTGGTTATTGACTTGTCGGCATATAGAAAGCTGAGAATAATGTCGGAGAACCATGTAAATATGTAAATGGCACGTGTATATGTACGTTCTACATTACTGTTCAGCAGACTTTACCCAGCAGACATTTTTTTTCTTTCCACTACAATTCATTATTAATAGTATATTTGGAGCATGAAATTTTGCTTGTGTTATTTTTATTAGGTGCACTCACTGTTTAGTTTATAATTAAGACAATCAAATTAAAACGATTATTTCAATTGGCCAGGACTATTTTTGCGTGGAAACGTTATTTGCATCAGAATGTTTTAACGTGAAAACTACATTTCGCATGGAGTCGTTGCGACGATGAAAATTGGAGGATAGTAAATTTAAAGTATCATGTCACTCGTACTCCTAATTATTTGAACGCCAGAGATGAAATATCAAAAGGTAAATATAAACTCCTCGGTATTTTAATAACACAAACATTTCAGTATTAATGTCATCGAGGACATTCTAAATTTAATTCGACGAGCTTTAATTGCATTTAAATTGTAGATGAATAGGATAGAGGTGCTATTTTCTACGAGAAACACGAATGACAAGAAATAATCTATCGTGTAACATAAAATGAACACAATGTATTTTGTATGTATTATTATGTATGTACTATATATGTATAATATCATAATATATTATGATCATGATATAATATGTCTATGTTATATTATATATGTTATGTTATATGTTACATTTACATTAGTTATGTTATATTATATATAATATGTATTATGATATAATTTCATAATATATTATGATGTAGTAGAAAGAAAAGAATTATTCTCAAGATAAAATGTTAATTAAACTGTTCTGTGAATAAACAGTTGTCACAGTGAGAACTCTATCAACCCTATAGTTTCTGCAGATCCTAATAAAATTCCGCCACACCGTAGAGAGTAAATTAGAGCTGAAAACAATTTTCCGATTCGGTATTCTAATTTTATAATCTAACCATATGAAACACAATAGAAGTTCTCTTATCTAAAATAGTGAGACACGAATGTTTCGATAATGGAACTGTACTTAACAGTATTTAACTAAATAGTAAATACTGATTTCTATATAAAATCATATTGTATATGAATCATCCAACGTGGGGCCATCTACGTGCATACAAAAAATTACCATAATCATTGGTTAGAATAACAGAGGTTGGACCATGCAATATTCAAATGATTATCCACGCAGCACATCTATCCTCGTTTCACTTTCTCAGTGATTAAGCAATTAAGAGTCAGGTTGGATTGTTTCGCATTAGCGGACGATACAGTAAATTCTCTCTAATTTTTCTTCAGCTTGTAAACAAAAAATAGGCTATTTGGAAGTAGAAGATACGATTATTCGTGCGGGTTTTATATTTGTAATTTTGAATATAATTGTTGACACTCGGCGACTGTAAAAATGAGCCGCGAGGCTCGAGTAATCCTATCTCCTGCTTCCAAATAGCCTATTTTTTGTTAATAGCCTATTATTTGGAAGTAGGAGATCCGATGATTCGAGCCTCGCGGCTCATTTTTATAGTCGCCGATTGTCAACAATTATAAAAATAAGGCGCAGATACGAATAATCGTATCTCCTCTTCCCAAATAGCCTATTTTTTGTTAATAGCCTATTATTTGGAAGTAGGAGATACGATTATTCGTGCGGGTTTTATATTTGTAATTTTGAATATAATCGTTGACACTCGACGACTATAGAAATAAGCCGCGAAGCTCGAATAATCGTATCTCCTACTTCCAAATAGCCTATTTTTTGTTAATAGCCTATTATTTGGAAGTAGGAGATACGATTATTCGATCCTCGCGGCTCATTTTCATAGTCGCCGTTTGTCAACAATTACAAAAACGAGGCGCAAGGCCGAATAATCTCCCTCTTCCCAAATTGTCCATTTTTGTTCACAAGATGAAGGAAAATTAGGGAGACTTTACTGTATTATCTTGAGCAATGTCGGCCCGCGACGTCTTATTTCACTTTTCGGTTGGGACAGTGTCACATTCACGAAGGGCCGCGATATATCACGAATCACGACAGAAACGTATTAGGGAAACGTCGCGTACCCGAAACAATATGAATCCATCCATCTTAGGAATCCGGCTCGGCGATAAATGGCCGCGGAGACGGAGGAAAAAAAAGGGGGGGTGAGGGATCACGGCGGGGGTGATTTCGATGTCTTATCGCGAAAAAGAGGAAACGGACAGGGGGGGAAAAGAAAGGGTGAATGGGCGAGCATGTGGTCAATTCTTGGGTGTCGGGTAGTTGCGCAGGGGACAGCCCCGATTGGTCCGTTGCCGCCGGTCGGCTGACGCGGCTGACGCGGCTTGTGGCTTTCGGCTCGACGGGCTTGCCTCGACTCGCTCAGTCGCACTCGAACCGCGCATCGGTGAAGGTCTTGTGTCGCCCTCTCGCGGCGGTCCTCTCCTACGGTATACGCGTGTGTGCGTACCTAGCGAACAGTTGTCACGCGAGTCTCCACGTTGTTTCCTCGCGACGATCATTCTTTGGCAACGATGTTGTCGCGCGCACGTTGACTGGGACAGGCGATCGTTCAGGCGCTTCCGCGGATTTCGGTAACTGGATTACTAACCGCGTATCTTCGAACCCTCGATCGCCTCTACTTATAACGAACAACAACGGTTTCGAACTATTGTCTCTTAACGGTGATCCCTTTAAACGTTTTCCGAGCGGTCCGCACGATAGGCCGGATATCGGGGCTCGCGCGCAGCTAATCTTCGGCGACCGTGCGCGGCTGTCAACAACTTTGAAATCTAAACTGTCAATGGGACCTACCTCGAACGTGAACTCCATCTTGAAAGCGTCGGATTCGATCCCCTTTGAAAGACGATTATCTGGCACGTGAAGCTCGCGATTCCGTTTGCCAGCGGCGCTCCTTTCTCTCGGGTTCTTTTTTTTTGCCGGTCTCTTTCTCCCGTTCCGCCCGGCTCCCGGCAGTCGTTTAAAAGGATATTGGACGCCATTGAACGTTTGGTTCTGTTCCCAGTCGACGCGGAGGACACAGTGAATAGTCGTGCGCGCGTGTTTGCCGTGCGGACGTGTGCAGGTCGGGACGCGATCGTTCCCCGGCGAAGAGCATGGGTAGTGCGGGAGATAGATCGTCTTCGGTGTAATCTGGCGTTGACGTGACCTAGCCTAACGTAACTTTTGTTTGGGACATCGTTGAGCCCGCGCCTACCTCCTCCCACCACTCCCGTCCGCCGGCCGTTTTCGCTCTAACCGTTCTCGCGTTTGGTGCTTTCTCCTCCCACTTTTCTCGCTTTCTCTCTTCACTTCTCTTCTCTTCTCTTCTATTCTGTCGCTCTTTCGCGTGTGTGCCCACTTTTCTGGAGTGTGTGCGACCGGCCCCCACAGCGAGAGCAACTTCACGCGTTTATCCGGTAAGTGATACACTATATTTATCTATCGATACGGCGTCCTGTCGCGCCGATTTATGAGTCGGTGACGTGCAAGCGCGCCTCCGTACCATTTCGAATGCTCGTGATATTTATCGGAAGTGGAATGTATTAACCGGAGTGCACGCGGTTTTATCGTTTTATTGTTACGGTTTCGTTCGCGCGCCATGGATACACTTTCCCTGCGATCGTTTCAGTTGAGACGCGGGGCGCGAGGATTATTATACGGTTCGGTCGTAATTAGACGCCATTTTGGTAAGTCCGTTGTTTCTGTGTTTTTCGTAGGTACTGTGAAATTGTTTGTGATTTTTCTGGAGTAATATTTTTAGGTTTGGCAAATACGCGTATACGAACGGCATGACGGTATTTTCGTTGTTGTTGTATTATTTCGCAAGATTTCAGGTATTTCACTGCGGCATTCGTGAATTCTGAAAGCATTTCTGATGCAAGTTTGGTAAAAAGGATTTGGTATATTTGGTATATTTACGATTATTTAGTCGTGTTTATATACGTTGCTCTTGCGGCAGTTTCTAATCGAACCGAATCGCCGAATTTATGTTCCGGTTATACTGTGTCTGGATGCGAGGGCGCGAAATTGAATTTCTGTACCCATTGTAATATCTTATTCCCGAAAATTGTTGATCCGAATGAAATATAGAAAAGACGTTCGTTCTCGTCGCAATATTTCCCCGGCCTCTAATACCGATGTCGGCCTGCGATCGCATAAATAATTTTTGCCATTACCATATTGGAAAACGTTCTTTCAATACCGTAATATACGTCTGGGGATTATAACTCATCCCCGCTCGTGTTCCAATTTTTCTTCTGATATTTTCATACTTTACAGCCAACTAATTCTTCGCTTCTTATTAGTTTATAAATTCACAATTTCAAGTGAGAGATTCATGATCTAAATTTTGTGGAGTGTAGAACAAATTCGAGATCTTTGCAATTGGAACTTCCAATTATTTTGAGAAGAAACAGGGACTCGATAGTTTTCAATTCTTTCAATGTTTTGCGAATCTTGAAATCGAATTCTAAAGATATAATATTTTGTATAAATGATTTTTATAAATTTTGACTTCGTAATTTTATTAAGAAAATGTAGAGTACATTTTTTTCAAATATGGCTTCGTTTAAGAAGAAATAGATTTTAATAACTCGATGCATTGAATACGAATCGACTGGCGCGTTTGATCATGATCTACCATTTCCACTGCTGCTTGCCATACTATCAACTAGCCTAGCGGATCTAGGAACTGATTTTTCTCGAAAACAGAGTCTTGAATATACAAAAATGTTATCCTTTTCTTTCGAACTATTTTCTTATGCAGAATCACTCTCTATATGTTCGAACCATCAATTATCTGATCGAGAATTCCAAATACAAAGAATATAGTTCAAATAATTCAATTTTAGCTTCTATTTTATTAGCTCTTATATTAACTCCGTTGTTGCTAACATTATTTTCAGGTGTATACACTTTTATACCCTAATAATGCCATCAAAAATTGCCGAATGTAAAATACCCTAAATGGAAAATATAAAAAGTAAAAGTAAAATACGCTAAAGTAAAATAAATAGTAATAAATAAATACGCTAAAGTAAAAAAAATAGTAATAAAATAGTAATAATAAAAGTAAAACACGCCAAAGTGGAAAATCTAACAAAACTATTTATCCTCTTCATAAAAAGTAGACAAAAGAATACAGAAAATCTCTAGAATTCCCCGAAACAGTGTAAGAACTATTTCACGGAAATTTACAATTTCCCGCCGACGAGAAATGTCCCGTTCAAATAAACACCATCAAAAGCTTCTATTTTCGATCGAGCGGCGGTGTTCATAAATCAAGCGTCTTGAGGGTCTGTGTCGGTCGCCAAAGGGGGATTAAAAGGCCTGTTAAAATATCCAGCGAAGGACATCCAGCGTTTACGAATTTTTCATTTCGCCGGAGAAATTCATAACCCGACTTCCGGCGGGGGTGGCCACGGTTCTCGTTAAGCCAATCGGCACCCCTCGCTTTCCCGGGGCAATCCGGCGCAAAGAGTCGAGTCACCGCAGAAATAATATTCGCTTTGGCGGGTCCGAGAGCTTTGCCAAACCGCGGGGTAGCTGCAGCGGCGCTAGCCCCGATGGCGCACGGTGCTGAAAATAGGTGGACACACGGCGTGTTGCATCTTTCCGCGGGCCCGTTTCGAGCGGCTGTTCCAGTATCTCGAATTGTGGCAAGCACGAAAAAGGGAGGGGGCGGGGGGGAAGGAGATGCCGGCGGGCGCTAATTGGTTAATGTCGGTCATTACGGGTTGCCGCGATGCGGCACACGGCTAAAGAGAATTAAAAATAGCTAGTGCCCGCGCTATAGCAAAAAAGCTGGCCGGGCCGGGCCGGGCCGGGCCGAGGAGGGTCACAAGCCCGGATTCTTTTATTAACCTTTGCTCCGAGCTCCAGCGGCGTTAATTGAGAATGCGTGGGCGGCGAGGATCAGCGAACTGAAATTCGCTTTAGCCTCTTGATGTTCATGTAAACAGGCTCTCGCGAAGTTAGACGCGCGAATCCCGCTTTGCTTCCCACTGTTTGGATTCAGCGTCGTCGTACGGCTGCCTTCCGCTTGCTCGTCAAATTCCTCCCGTCCCCGGCGCGGCTTAATGCTCTTGTATATGGAAATCAGTGGAATATCGATAAGGATTTCGTTTCTTTCTTTTCCCCACCTCTCGGTCTACCTCTCTTTTCTCTTTCGCCCTCTTTCTCTTGGCCTTCGCACACGCCCGTTGGTCCCCGTTCGGTCGGCCGCGCGTACACTTTGCCGGCCGCACCTGTCGGCCACGCGGAATCGTTCGACTTCCTCATTGACCGAGCGACGACTGCGCCGAAAGTTGCGAAAGCACTTGCCGGCGAACTTCGTTATCGCGAGCGTGTCTCGCGACCTCGTGGCACGTGATTGGGCGATTAGAGCCACTTCGCGCACAGTTCGAACGATCGACGAGGCTTTTCTTAGCGGGCCGGGAACGCCCGGCTTGCGAGAACATCGTTGTCCTCGCAGTTTCGAAACGGTCTGACCCAATTGTCATTTAAAGCGGAATATTCGCCGGCAATTATGCCGTTTCCATTATTGCACGTTTGACTCCGCGACTGACACCGATGCATTGTTTAATTTCATTCCGCGATTTAATCCGCGCCGCGTTGCTTTAATTAAATCACACGTTTTATTGCTGCCCGCGAGAACACCGCCGTTAAATAACGCCCGGCGGTCTGCGCCGCACGTTTTGAATTTATAAGCGTATCGTTATAAATGATTGTTTCGTCGGCTTTCAGATGATTAGCGGATCGTTCCGGGAGATTCATAATTAATCTCCGTGTGATTTAGAAGCCGTTTCATGAACCTTGCCGCGAACGTTTCTCTTAATTTGCCATCGCGAAAGAAATATCCCAGGATTTTTATCTCGTTTGCGCATAATTATTCGTGGTAATAAATCTGCGCGTTTCTAGGTCTTTTGATTAAACAGTACATTATTCTGTTTCAATCCAATAAGTGGAATATCCGTCTCCCGTGGTGTACACGTTGTTATCTTTTCAGGCGTTTGTTATTCGTATAAAATTTGTACAAATATTACGTTACCTCTCGTAATTCCTTGGCGCACATGGTGAATCAGTAACATCGGCAGGATATTATATTATAATACTGTAAAAGCATCACCATTAGTGGATAACGATGTTATATCAGACTGCTTTCCATCAAGATTTTTCGAATGTAGAAAATACTCAGTATGACTGAGAGAGCGTGAAAAGATATCTGCTAGTGTAGACGAAAATAAAAATTGGAGTAAATGATGTACCTAAAAAATTTATAATTGCAGGATATGCAAGTTTAGCAAATATGATGACAAGATAACAAATATTCTTACAATTAGACATAAAGTAGAAACTTTCTTATCTGAAGGTTTATTTTGGTAATACCGAAACGTGCTATTACCGAAAAATTTCGTTGGAGTTCTCTAGTAAGCGACAATGCATCTAAATCAGGGGTGTCAAACTCAAAAGCTAACTTGGGCCAAATAAACAATGCTTAACTTTAGGTGGGCCGCAAAAAAAGTCAATGTTCATAGAAACAAATATTTTTATTTTGACTAGTACATTGTAATAAACACATATATAAAGTTAAATTATTGTTTACGTCCTGATACTTGACATCTCTTCTCTGATACTATCATTCCTATTTCGGGAGAAATATTTCTTTTTCGCAAAAACGTTCATCTCGGGCCGCGAGTTTGACACCCCTGATCTAAATGATACAATGGCTAGATAATGGTTCGTTTGGATATCAGAATATTGCAAAAATAAATGTTCGAACAAGGGAATCTCTACTGTACTTAAGAGAATCTTTTTGAAAACCGATCGTTCTTATTCTACCTACTTGTATATATTAACATTTATTACACAATCAAATGAACAGTATCCCTTTGTTACCATAATAAGCATTCGATTCTTGTGCGCGGAAACTATGAGAAATTCAAAGGTTCCAGATAATCTGGCGAAAGCACTCGTCGGCTGAGGTGTAAGTTCGCATAGTCACGTGAGGTCGAGTGACTTACACACTCGTCCGTCCTACACGGGAATACACTTACGTGCCGCAGCATTCATTTTCTGCTATCGTGAGTTGTACCTCCACGCCGAGCTGAATTGAAAAATCCTAGATAAAAATGTTACATGATATTTTCCACGTTCTCAGACCTCTTTGTATTACTCGGACACTCGGGATTCTCAATGTTCCAGCGAAATCGCTGGGACACCATTAAAACGATAAAGCTTTACACCAAACTTCCATCTTTAGTAATATCTTTTGTCGCAGAAACCAAATTAATTTAACATAATGACCACTGAATAGATTAATTTATGGTGTCTATCGCCAGTCTAGTTGGTTTATAAAATATTGATTTTCCAGCGAAATCGCTAGGACGCCATTAAAACCGTGTAAACGATAAAGCTT